AAACATTGTTAAAACCCCCTTTGAATTGAAATTGATTGAATTACTTAAATTTAAAATATTGCATTAAAGAATTCTTAAACTTGAGCATTAAAGAACTTGTAGAAAGAATCAAATTAATGTGTCCCTGAATTGACCACCACGACCTGCTGTAGGCCCACATCAGCCTGCCACTATGGGCTCCAACCGGTTCACTTAGGTTAAAAAGTGTTCACACCAAAACCATTTTCTTCTTGTGAAATCCAACATTGGGCCTGTGAACTAACAGGTGCTTGTGTGTCCCTCTGACTGTCTACTGAAACATACAGTGAGCCTTCAGATAAACATGGAAACACATTGCCCTTACTAACCAGCTGACGTTATGAAGTTGATGAGCCAAAGTGAAGCGGCACACCTGGCACCTGGACCTTGAGTATGTAATAAAGTCTCATCTATCCATCCATTCACTCACTCACTATCTATCTTACAACAAAGTGTGGCAACACTAGTTAACTTCTAGGCTGTCACTCACCTTTTTGTGTGAATCCAGATGTGCTCCACCCGATGTCTAATCATTCTTCCGATGGCTTTCAACGCGTCAAACTAACATTTCTGAATCAATGCGGGGGGAAGTTTCACAAATACGAAGTTACAGCGACTGACATGGAAACGTACCTGCTTCTTTTTTGTTTGTTTGCCGCAGAACCAACAAACAAACCGGTCGCTCTCCATATTCAAAAGGCTCGCGGCCCCGTTGATGATTGGATGGTTGGTCTGTGGAACCGCCCCCCCACCTGCTTCCTTTCCCGCCACCGATAATCAGGCTGTGTGCAACTTTTTTTTTTTCAACTGGGCTGTGTACAACTAACCGCTGCCGTTTGGCGCTTGTTACGTAACGCCAAGGGGCGGGGGATCCTTAAAGATTAAAGGTGTAAGCTGCAGGTGAGGCGGCGACGTGACGCTGATCTTCATCAGCTGATCATAGTGTTTCCAGCAAACAGGTGATTCTTTGATTCTTTCATATTCAGCAACAGGATGGTTCTGCTTTTCAACACAAAGTGAATAAAACTTAATATCAAGTGTGGTTTATAGGTTTTATTTAGTCCCATCGTGATTTTACACTGTCTAGATCAAGGAATGGATTTTCAAGCTCAGCCTGATTCAGATGCAGAGTTTCTGATTCATAATCTAAAGCTGTGGCTGCTGGGAGGAGACGGTGTCCACACTGACCACAAACAGGCTGCTGTTCACCGCTCTGTCAGACTCAGGCCAGCTATTTGTGTCAGTCATCCTTTTTCATTAAAATGGATTTGCTGTTGCAACATTAGCTGTTTCCATGTGTTTGCCTTTTTGTCATATGATAGTAAAACTGAATAGGTCTCAGCAGTGGGACTACCGGTGTGTGGAGGCTTCAACAAATTATGAAAATAGATCCTGGGGGCAAAACTTTAGGTTTTAGAATCAACCTGTGTAAATATGACCTCAGTAGTTTGACTGATTGTTTCTCCTGATTTCCCAGCTGTGTCCACTAGATGGCGCCAACGCCTAAGCACAGAGTTATGTTTCTACTCTGTTTACATGTTTAAGCTTGTCATCTGTTATAGGGCAGCAGCTAATGACGTGCTTTATCAATTAACATGCCAGTTATTTCCTTAATTAATAGATTTATTGTGACCCAAAAGCCTTTTTGTGACAATCAACAGTCTAAAACTGAAAGAAGTTTGCCGCTGTTTAGTTTATCATGAAAGTCTAAGAAAACCAGAAAATATCAACCTATGATAAGCTGAAACTAGAGAGATGTTCTTGGCATTTCTGCTGACAAAATGAATTAATTACTCAACAAAGCAGTTACATTTTCTGCCACTCAGTCCCCTCAGCTCGTCAGGGATGAGGCCAACAGAAGCTGCCTTTGTGACAGTAACTTTATTCAGGTTCAGAACTATATCTTAATGCAACAGACACAAACTGACAGCAAAAGGATACAAAATGAACATGAAGAGATGCAAAACAAACACCAAAAAAGACAGCATATCCCTTAATCTTATACATGCTCTCTTTCTTTATCTTTCTCTCACAGGCAGACATTGTCCTGAAGTCTCCATAATAAACTAGAAACTCGTGTTTTGCATTAATGGGGTGGCTGAGGTGGTGCAGTCGCACGAGAACAGCTGTAGGTGAGTCATGTTCCCATCAGCTTTCAGCTGAATAAATACAGCCTATTTAAATTAACATAACAAACAGTAGGATCCCAGCCCTTTACCATTTATTAAAGAACTCAGAGTCTGCTAAACAAAGGAACGAGTGGACACTGAGCTTTTCTTCAGTCCAGTTCAGGCTCTTTACCTGCTGCTGCATTAGCCGAACGGCTCTGCTCTTTATTTACCTGTTGCCGTGATGAATCTTAGTGTCAAAGCTCCACTGATGACGGCTTTTTACAGTCTTCACACACAAGCTTAGCTCTGAGTTAACTGAACTCAGGCAGTGGAAAGAAGCTTTAATGATGCCTGAAAACACTGGGAACACTGGGAACACTGGGAAGGATTTCAGATCAATCTGAGCACAACAAGTGATGTTTTTATTTCTTCAGTAAATAAGGCTGCACAAGATTGAGTTTTAGTAACATTAAGACATACTGTGTGCTTTTCTTTATATGTGCACATGGAGCCACAAACAGGAAAACAGAATGAAATGTTGTTTTTGGCAAGTTCTGAATTTAGGAAAACAAATTGTTACTGTTTTGGTCGTGTGCTGTCCAGAGCAGTATCAGACGTGGCTGTAACAATAACTGGTTTTGTTCATTTTAACTCGATACTTAGTGTAAATGTGTGTTACATAAGAGCATCTATAATGTAATCTAATGTGCCGGCACTGAGGTGAACTCTTGTTCATTTATGATAATCAAAAGCAGCCATTATAATATTTAATACATCATTTATTTCATCTGAGGATCTTCAAACATCTGTTGCCTGCTTGGGAAACCCAACTTTGTATGTTTTTCTCTTGGATACTTTTATTATAAAAACCAAACAACAGAAACAGGACAACTTCCAACACACAAACACACACTGTGAAGTGGTCATTTAAGCTGAAACCCAGAGTAAGAAACAATTATTATTGTAATTTAGTTTTGTGTGACAGCGATATTAATCTACACCCGCCTTCATCAGAGTCCTAACACCAGCAGTTCAATACTCGGTGAAAACCTGTTGCTACTCTGTCCAAAAATGTCATCAAAATCCATTCATTACGTTCTGGAGTTACGCTGTGAACACAGCAACAAACTGTGTCATCCTACATCCTGCAGAGCTGCTCCCAGACTGACGGTCATGGAAACCGCTTCAGGGGCTGTCAGCTCCATTTCTGGGCCGGGCTGAGGCTGCAGAGCTGTCAGAAAGCTGTAAAGAGCAGTGCTGTCATATTAGTACCTCAGCACAGGGTCCTGGTCTTTGTCGGGCCTCTTCTTTTCAGATGTGTAGGCTCAGTGTCACAGCCTGTGGGCCACTGCTGTGGTAACTTACTGAAGACGGCAGGAGACAGGAAATGAACAAAACCAGAGGAAATGGTCAGAGACCCTGTTGAACATCAGTGCAGTCACGTTCCACTTGGCAGTGTCCATGGAGCTCTGGAGTTTTTGATGTCGGTCTGCTGGTTGAGCCGCCACGTCTGTCTACACTGCAATATCTCAACAACTACTGGATCTATTCCCATCAAATTTTAGACAGACATTCATTGTCCCCAGAGGATGAAGACCACTGGCTGATGTTTTCTCCCCCAGGCTTTAGTAGGGACCAAATACAGCTAATTCAGCACATGATATAAATGTGTACATTACTTTTACACTGTTACATGAGGTGTTGGTAAAGTGGTCCACTACAGGGACAGCTAGGTAAGCAAGTATGTATGACTAGTATGACTTAAATCAAGTGTAGTTAACTTGTGTCTTTAAATATAACTATTCATTTAGCACAGCTGTCATGAGAAATCTAGCTGCACAGAGAAAGTTACAGAATAACCTGAGTAATGGCTGCTTCACCAAAAGTAATTAGGCGACCACTTGTCATTTCTTAGAAGCCATGACACTGGACACGTTGACAACCTGCAGCTCTTGACTCTGGGATGAAAGAAGACTTCATGTGTCTCTCCCAGTATCTGTCAGACTCCTGCTGTACAGACAGTACCACACAGCAGCGTGCGGCCATGCTGTCCTCTGATAACAGGCTCCGGGACAAACAACGCAGATGAAACAAACGTGATGCACTCAGATTGTCTGTTGTGAAAACGTGACAGATGTGAACAGGGCAAGAAAAGAAGGAATACATTAGTAAAACAGTGCAACAAAAGTCCTGCATTCAAAGATGTACTTCAATAAAATACCAAAATGTAGGCTACTTCAACTATCTGAAGTACCTCTATTATCATTATGCTGACGTATTTACCTACGTGACAAGCATTTTCATGACTAGATTATCAAAATGGAAATTACAGTTGAACATTCAATAACGCTGTCTGCAGTGCAGCATCACTTTGACACACCTCAGGTGTTTGACTTACCTACATATGTTTAAAGCAAACCTACCAGTGGTATTACACTAGGATATCTCATGTACGTAGATAAAGTAAACACGGTAAAACATAACTAGCTGTGCGTTGTGTACTTTTGTGTAGTTTAATCTAACAATGCGTCAGATTTGATAAGATATTACATTTAGTTTTAAAGATTAGACTTTGCAAAGTCAAATGCCAAGTTGATGCTCTGTCAAAAAGTCAAAATCAAAAACTGCTTTTGACTTAAAAGTTCCAACTGGTAATTTTACTTTTTTTCATGACTAGGTTCATCCATCCATCATCTATACACCCTGAACAGGTTGACTAGGTCCTAATTGTTTTGTTTTTATTATTTTACTTTATTTATGTATTTTACTGGCGGAAGTGGGCTTCAGTTCAAAAGGAATCAAACTAAAACTCCAGTAGAAAAAGCTGAATGAACGAGTAGCAGCAGCCGACAGGTGTGTCCTTGAGGCTCCGCCCCTGCTCATAGATTATAATGGGACAGGACAGGTGCGGGGCTTGGTCACTGGAGTAGAGCTGCAGCAGGCAGTGGACCCAGGGTTAAGCTCTGAGTTCCTATATTTCCCCAGCTACAACAGGACCTGTTGATGAGCAACATGCTGCAGATGAACTACACGGACGCGCACCTGCCGCTGTCCGAGTACAGCTTCGAGCGGCGCTTTGACGAAAGAGGAGCCATAGAGTGGATGCAGGCGAACTGGTGAGCAGACGAACTGTTCATGTTGGATTTTAAGCTTTAAGTTGAATAATTAACTTGTGCGTGACTCCCCTGCTTCCACCGGGGTTAATACCCCCCCAACATTGAGAAACGTGTTTACCTTCCGAGTTCCATTCAGATATGTCGGCATTTTTAAATAGCTCTCAAACTGGAAAATGTGTGTACAGTTTAAAATATGGCTGAAGGCGGTTTCGGTATGTATGGGGTCCAGTCTTTGTTTCGGGATACACCCCGTTCATCGAACAACTCACTGCAACGTACTTTCACGTGAACCGGTTTGCTCGATACTAGAACAGTTCCGAGGATAAGGAAGGCAGCCGATACAGTATTGAACAGATCAAAAGGTTTTGGATTTTAACAACGCCCAAAAATAGATTGTATTTATGCCGAACGGAAGGGTTGATATTACGTTGTCAGAAAAAAGAAACTCTTGTTTAAGGTATGCCTGGAATAAAGATAAATCAGAAACCTCTAGATTTTAAAGGGGATTTGGTGAGGGTCTTTCTTCATACAATGACGCGTCAGAGATTTGGCGCATATACCACATGTCGAACTAAAAGGAGTCAGAGAAAGTGCCAGAAAGCTTGGTCATTGGAGGCTGCAGGTGTATCACAGGTGAGTCACCGCAGGGTGACGTCACACCCATGCCATCTGTTTGCGTAATTGCTATAGATCCGATCATTCCAGATACAGAGCCTCCACCCAGAGCCACAAGGACGACGAAATGTAAAAGTATGAGCCGGGAAGGATCCCTCTTCTCTCCCTTATGTTTAACTCTGATGTTTTGTCTATTTGAGGAAAATAATGGTTTCATTTGTGCACGATGCGATAAGGCAACGTATTTTGCTTTAGAAATCAGACATAATTGGCCTAAAATTTAAATCGGTGTGTAATGTTGACACTCAGGCAGGTGAAGCTGCAGTCAGGCCTCAGGTATTCATCGAATGGCACGTGGGTGCACCGGTTTGTGTTGCTGACTGACTCTGCTCAGGTGTGGCTGTTCACTGGGAACCCTAATCCTTTCAAGCCTGAGAGGTCGGTCATTTTACCACTGAAAGAAGAACATGAGCACAACAGCTGTGACAGACCCTCACATTTATATCTAGTGGCTCTGCTGTAAAATGAACCAGGTGTCAGGATTAAAGCTGGAACAGATTTCCTTTGTAAAATAACTAAAGACTAATGGAAACTGCCAATCAGTTTTCTGAAGTCATCAGATGTGTGTGTGTGTGTGTGTGTATATACACACACACACACGTGTTCATTTATTTTCACATCAAATGTAGAACAGCAAACCCTCCCTCCTGAAGCTGGAACCTGCAGAAATGTCAGAAAACAGAACAAATGATTATTATATTTATATTATTGTAAACTTGTTGCTGTATGTGCAGCATGACTGAGTCCATGGTTTAAGGTGGACAGAATAAAAAAACATAACTTCATAAGTTCATTATTGATGGATTTGATTTTTGTTTTTTCTTGTCAATGTCACAGAGCTAAACTTTTCCAGATGGTTTCTTTTGTCTAACCAAAGGTCTGAAACCCCAGAAGTATTTAGTTTAGTGATGTGTTGGTTTTCTTTGAGAAATGGAAAGTGACTAATCAGTTATTAGTTATCAAAGTTGCATCATTATTTTTGCCAGTCAGCTAATCAGTTAACAGACTGTTCAGTTCTAGTAACTGTACTTGAGTAAAGCTGTTTGTTCTGACCATATTAACCTTAGCGTTCCTGTCACGTCCTGCTCAAAAGTCGTAGAGGTGTCTTAAATAGGTGCACATGTACTGATGTGAGATGAAGGTGAATGGAGTCTCTCCACCTGCAGGAGCAAGTCTTTTGTCTTCAGTGCTCTGTACGCCACCCTGGTGTTTGGCGGTCAGCACTACATGAAGCTTCGGCCCAAAATGAACCTGCGGCGGCCCCTTGTCCTCTGGTCACTGAGCCTTGCACTCTTCAGGTAATGCTCACCTTAAACACACAACACCTGTGTATGAACTCTAAAGGTAAAGTATAATGTAGTAGCCTATAGATGCCTCAAATATGTCCTTAAAGCTGCTCCGCCTTCACGTCTCTACGACCTCGAGGGTTTGGTATGACTCCAAACAAACTGACACCATAAACCTCTCCCTCCCATCACATCCTGTTTCCTACAATGAGAACTACAGATGCCTGGTTGGGACAAACTGCAGTCTGAAGCTAGCGTTAGCTGGCTAACAGTAAACGTGTTTGTCCAGTAGGACCCTCTGGTTACTGCTGATGTGACACAAAGCTCCAGTTCCTCCCAAATTAAAATCATATTCATTAAAGGTAAAATCCTGACCATGCTAGGTGGCTAATGCTACCAAAACAAACAGATTAGCTTTAGATGCTAACACATCCAGAAGGAAGAAGACCACATCTGGATCCAGTCTGAGTCCTCTGGCTGCTTTTAACCCTCTCCATGTCAAACAGCCAAACCCATGTTAACCCTGGTTGTTGATCTTTCTTTGTCCCACTCTCTCTGTGCTAAAGACGCCACCTCTTCACTCTGGCAGCCGCTGATTTTATTATAGTTTTGTCATAAAATAGTGTAAACACAAACACCTGTTGTGAGTTTCACAATAATTCAGCAGCTGTTTGCTGAGTGGAACAGGTCTTTCTTTGTTAGCAGCTCTTGTGTAACATCACTCAGCTGTGTTGTGATTTCTGAGGAGCTCTTGAGTCAACATGCACAACTATCTCCATGGCTGTCCATCACACACGTGATGATGGCTGCAGCTCAGGTGTGTTTGTTTTGTGTGTGGCATGGTTTCAGCTCACCTGAGAACAATGGAGCTGTCAGTCGATGTGGACGACGGTTACTGAGGCTCTGAAACATGAACCTGCTCTGTAAACACTGATTTAAATAAACAGCTCTTGAATGTGAACATGCTTCTTGCGTGTGCCAGTGTGGCTACAACACAACTTGTGTACTCAACTGAAACTCGGCAGTGAGAGCCGCCAGCAATGAGGAACTTCTCTCCACCGTCTGTGTTAATGAATCATCATACATTTTAAAAGTCAGGACAGTTTTAATAGAGAATAACACGTTCCATATGTGAACCCCTGTAATGTGTTCGTGGCCACACACAGTAGGAAGACCAGTGTCCCTGTGCTCAGGATGTGGCCCAGCATGTGGATCCTATTGATTTGTATCAGTAGTATTGATACGTCAGGCTCCGATCCACCCACCTCTGTTCCGTTCACATCAGACCTCAGTGCTCTGCTCTGTTTCATGCTCGTGTCCGGCTCCGGTGTGAACACAGCTGAGGTCTTAACCTGCCATGTGTGCAGATTTAAGTGAAAAAAGTGGGCCACGTGCACACAAAACTAACAACGGTGACCTGATTTGTGTGACAGTCAAATCAGAGCTGTGGATGACTGAGCTGTGCACGTGTGGGATTATAGTCCTGGTCTCTCCACTGACCCCGTTGCTGTCGTCGCTCTCCTCCATGTTTACTGTTACCTGTGTGTGTGTGTGTGTGTGTGTGT